GTCTTTGTTCACAATTTGCTTTGGCATTGTCCATCCATCCATCCATTTTCCGATCTGCTTTATCTTCACAAGGGTCACGGGGGGTGCCGGAGCCTATTCCAGCTGTCTTCGGGCTGTAGGCGGGGCACACCCTGAACCGGTTGCCGGCCAATCACAGGGCACACAGAGACGAACAGCCATCCATGCTCACACTCACACCTAGGGACAATTTAGCGCGTTCAATCAGCCTGCCATGCATGTTTTTGGAATGTGGGAGAAAACCGGAGTACCCGGAGAAATCCCACGCTGGCCCAGGGAGAACATGCAAACTCCACACAGCCGGAATTGAACCCACGACCTCTGCACTGTGAGGTCGACGCGCTAACCACTGGTCCGCCACGCCGCGTTTTGTCATTGCATTCAATTAAATTTCATTTATCAAAATTAGTAGAGGTATCACGACTCAGCATTGGTGAGTCCTCAAAGAGGGAATACTCACACTAACGGGATGTGCCAAACATGGACACCCCAGTAACGTACAAATGTCAATTGGACATACCTGTACGTGTTTTTCACATGACACCAACAATTCGAAAATGACCCATAGATATGAGGCTTCGTTTGCAGTGTCTTTCAGGTTGTGTCAACAAACTGTACCCACAACTCAGCGAATGTTTCCTTTTTCAAAAGGGGACACTATCTTAATGAACACGTATGGCTCGCTTGATAGTTGTTCATTAGTTTTGCTGTTAAAAGCAGCTGAAAAATACCGGTACACCTCTATACTGGTTCTGCACTTTTAGGGCAACATTTTCAATCAATTGGTCCATATTGACATTTCAAGTGTGTCATCTTGATGGTCTGATTATCATTTTCAACACAGTTGTAGCAGCAACATATTTCTGGCATTTGTTGACTGTGGCGGATGCATATTTCAAAAGATGCATGAACAAAATGAAGGCCACATTAACAATCATGCAGCACCCAACGCATTTAATTATTTTTTTATTAGCTCAGCGATTTAAAATGAAAAGACGGATGCCAAGAGAGCCGCTGTGCCAACATTTGTTCATAGTGTGCATTACGGCAACATGTTAATGGGCCATCAGGATCAATTTCAGAATAATAGCCTTATAAGCATTGGTGGGCATGTGTTATTATTGGTTAGGCCTTTATTTTGAAGTTGGCCCTCACGGCGTGTGGCTGGCATGTTACCGTCACTTATGTTGCCTTCAAACGATGTGGCCTTCGAACCTTTCATGATCGACACTGGAGGCAAGCTCAACACTTATTGCGTTTGCTTCACGCACACACGACGTCTCTATCCAAGTTACAGTATCTGGTCATGTTTTCGATAATATGAAAGCGCCCAGAAAATGATTGTAAATTATTTTAAAACCGTTGAAATAGATGCAAAAATTCATCATATTGACAAATTCATTCGAACAAAAATGTAAACTTTTTAAAGACAAGATTCACCATGTTAAGTCTAGTATCCCTTTAAGGAAGTGCACAGGTTATTTTGGGACAAAGTCACTCACGAAGTTCTGTGCTGCCAAGTGCAGATGATAGACAGCTTGCTTGTGTGCCATTGTTCCTGCCAGTCAATCTGATAAAGACCACCACCCCAGCCTCCCACCCAAAAAAAAAAAAAAAGGTGGACTACATAAAATACATCTTTTTTTTTCAATTTTACCTTTCCGATAACATTTGAAGCGAGGCTATCCAAACTTTTTACCTTTTGGTGGGACTGGCTAGGCTTAGGACACAAGTCCCGTGCTGAGAACTAAATGAGTGCTAATGAGCAGCGCGTGTGTCGTGTACTTTGCCGTATGACGGCAGAGGGAGGCTGCCATGTTGAAGAGCGACGGGCCACGAAGCGCTGTCTTATAATTAGTCACCCAAACGCGTGCCCCGGGGGCCAAAAGTCAAAGGATCGCCAAGGCCTGATGTAACACATGCGTGAGTCTCCCCTTTCAGACTTCAAACTCTAGTTTGTGAACAAAGTCCTGTCTATCTATTCTGAATAGGAATCTCCGACCAGTGAGCAAACTCCAGTTGCAAGCGCTGCCTATTTGTAGCTTCTCATCAATGACCGCTTTTCATTCCCACACGTCCCATCTCAAAGGCAGCAGGCAAGACGGCCGCACGTGAGCAGCAGAAATAGCAGGAGCTCACGGCCGGGAAAAGGAAGTACGGGAAACCTGGGACTTATTTTCCTCTGCTGGCGGCACAGGAGCCGTTTGTTTGTGAGTGTTGATAAGAGCAAAGCGAGAGGAGAGGAGACAATGTGCTGGCTACAGCAGAAAGGAGGCCGCTGCTCTGCTGTCATGCAGTAGATGGAGCAGATAGGTGAGTGCATGGAGTGTCGGGGCAGCGACAGTGTCAACAGATAACTATCTGCAAATAACAACGCTTATGCAAGCCACACTGGCTGACCGGGGGAGAGTGGAAAAAAAAAATCATATTTCTGAGCCGCCCAATTGCTGTTATTTTGCAAACGATGGTGCATATTACGTTGAATTTGTCGATTCATTTGGGAGTGCTATTTGTATTGTCTGACCTTCAATCCCACAACAAACTGGAATAAGAACTTAAGTTAATTAAGTATTAAGTGTATTAAGTACTCAAAGATGCTTAAAACTACATTTCACACTCGCTATTCACCTAAAGTTGGGTGTGAATATCATTCCCATGGCACACCAGATTGTCGTTGTGGCAGGGGGCGGTCACTTTAAGTACTCGGAGCCATTCGGAACATCTCCCACAGAAAAAAACAAAAATAAAAAAACCACAAGAAGCCATAAAAGCATTATGACATCTAAAGTGAGTGTAAAAATTCATATGAAACCCATTTTTACCTGTGTGCATTAAAGAAAACAAAAACAAAAACAGGTTTTTGTAATAGTGAAATCTACTGCTAGGGAAAACACACAAAAAAAGGAGAAAAAAAATTCTCTGGAAAAAAAAAAGTTGCTTGTTTGAGACTTATGTCCAATAAAATATGAAGCATCTATTTGAGTCATTCTCATGTTGATGAAATAAAAGCCAAACTTAAATTTTCCACCTGCAGCAAACTAAAAATGCAAACCAAAAATCTTGTCTGCTTCTGTGTTCTCTCATCATTTTATTGAATATGGAGCAGACAGTCAACTGTCAATTTAAATTTTAAAAATCAATTTCACTTATTTGTAATCTGAAATATATACAATGCGCCCCCTCCCCCCACACAGTCTGTCACCTATGGATTCACCTGTTCAAAAAATGTTTTTCAATATTTTTAATTATTTTTTTATGTGGAGAGTGAACCCCTATTTCTCATGGAAAATGTTTATTGGAGGTCTGTCACCATTTTGTTCAATATGTTTTTGGGTTAAAAAAATAAAAATAATCTTGCATTTATAACGTGCATCTGTTATGTTTCAGAGACCCCCAAATAAGTGAAAAAACAAATACCCTCTCCAAATACATCCGAGGCACTCTTTTTTTTTTTGGTTGTAAATTTATGGTAGCAGAAATCTCTTTAAGTTTTTTAAAAAACTTTGTTGTTTTTTTGTTGTTTGTTTTTATGTTTTGTATTGTGTACATCATATAGTACAATTTGTTGCTTGCACTTCTGGGCTTTCTTTTCTATTTTTATCTACAATTACCTTGTCTGTTTACATGAATAAACAAATAAATAAATAAATAAACATAAAACTGCGAAAGATATGGACTGCGAAAACTGAACTGCGATATCGCGGGGGTTTACTGTAAATGTGTCATCCAAATCCATACCGAAAAGAAAAAAAAGATGGACCTGGTGCCCCGGGTTTTGAGATTGACACACTCAGAGATGCAACAATTAATCGACAACGATCATATGATCAAATTAATCCAAAAAAAATTTGATAATTGATTAATTGTTCAAAGACCGTTTAAATTTGTCCAAATCCTCATAATTTCAGCCTCTCAACAGTAGATATTTTCAGATTCACGTTCCATGAAAGTAGATTCTTTTTTTGTTTCATCCAAATTCGATGTTCTCAAACATCTGCTTTTACTTTAGAAAACAATGTTTGGCATTTTTGCCTATTTACTCGCGTTACAGACCAAACTAGTAACTGAATCTTCATTAATTTATGCTTTTTAAAAAAAAACTGATTCATCGATTAATTGACAAAACAGTAAATGGAAAAAACTGTTTATTAAAACAATTATTATGTGCAGGCAAATTTGAGTTTTCTGTCCACAATGATCTGTTCAGAGGACTGCTGGTACACAAAGTGGAGAGTTGGTTCGTCTCCGCTACATCCTCAAGAAGTCTTATCATAGTCATTATAACCCATCTCCTCTTGTCATTTGACGTTTAAGGACAACTCTGAATATACCTTGTCATGAAATCAAACCTGAGAGGAGTGCTCAGATTGTTCTTACTCATGACATCTATTTGGTTTCAGGCTAATCATAAACCACAAGGGCCTATTTAGCTGTCCATATTACAAGACGATAAAAAGCTCCGATAAAAAAATGGCGGAGGTGTGCATTTGGGGAAAGACATTGTTGCTGTTTTTGGGGTGGTGGGCTTGCTCCTGACATGTAACATTTCATCCTGGCGGTGGCTCCTTAGCATATCTTTGTCAAAATCCCTGCATGTCACATCACGTCAAAAAGTCTCCTCCGTGCAACAAATAAGTCAACAATTGCGTCAATAAACACGGAGAGCCACGCAAGACGTAAATCAATCACAGCGTGCGATAAGGCCCTTCAATCATTAACTGTTTTGCTGAGGATTCACGTCCACTTGTGTCAGCGGCTCGTCTCAGGGCGAACCCGCAGAGATTCTTCGGACCGTCGATCCGCAGACGACTTCCACCGCCACGTGCTCCAAAAGGACGCAAAAGTCACTTACGCTAACCTGCGGGGCTCCAGGCGTGACACGGAAACTCATGCTGTGGCCACATTATACACAACATGCACACAAAATGCTGATCTGTGGCCATGAATTCGGTAGAACGTCTGGGTAAGCAAATCAAGCTCACCTTCTCTACAAACAGTAAGGGAGAGGTTGAAGATGTCGCATATTATGAGAGACATCCTTCAGGATTACCTCTCATGCACACTACTAAGACGCTTTCAGCCACACAGCTGAAACACAGACACACCAATTACTGAAAGTCTCTCACACACTGGTCAAACTCTCATACACATTCCTGAAACTCTCATGCTCACTTCTAAAGTACAGATCAACTGAAAATCTCTCACTGACTCCTGGAACAATCCTTCCACACTACTAAAATTTACACACTAATGAAATCTTGTAACACTTGACACCGAACTAGGCTCATAATATACTGAATGCACTCATGAAAAAACAAGTTTTAATCATGTGAATGAGAGTATTGCGGTAGTGTGTGTGTTTGTGTGTGTGTGCGTGAGAGAGGCTTTCAGTAATGCATGAGACAGAATTTCGGTTGGGTGTATCAGTGGTGTTTCAGTAGTAAACATGAGTGCTTGTTGGTAGTGTATGTGAGAGTGTTTCAGGAGTGTGTACACCTCATCCCAGATTATTATGGAAAGATGTTTTGGATTTAATCGCTTTTGATTTCAGCAAATATTGTACAATCTCCTAATGCTGCAAATTCAACTAATGACTACTTTCAGTTCTTTGCAACCCGCCACTCAGCGAGGTGTGGGCTGTGTGTTGCTGACGAGACCTCATAGTCATAGTGGAGGGTCCTTTAAACATCCCTGGTTCAAGTACAAGTGTGAGTACTTTCCAGGAAACGTTTCATGGATTTTTTTCTTTTAAATTATAGTTATCCATCCATCCATCCATCCATTTTCTGAACCGCTTTATCCTGACAAGATTTGCAGGGCATGCTATAGCCTATCCCAGCTGACTTTGGGCAGTAGGCAGGGGACACTCTGAACCAGTTGCCAGCCAATCACAGGACACACCAAGACGGACAACCATCCGCGCTCATACTCACACCTAGGGACAATTTGGAGTGTTCAATTAGCCTGCCATGCATGTTTTTGGAATGCGGGAGGAAACCGGAGTATCCAGAGAAAACCCCCACAGGCACGTGGAGAACATGCAAACTCTACACAGGTAGGCCGAAGCTGGAATTGAACCCAGTACCGTTGCACTGTGAGGTCGACGCGCTAACCACTGGCCTACCGGGCCGCCCAATTGTATTTTTAGCACAAATTAAATTTTCATGTTTCCTTTTGTACATCAGTATATTTTTAGAGTTTACTTTTTACTTTAGTATATTTCAGTCTGGACTTTTTTTACTTTTTTAAGTAAAGGAGTTGAATCAGTAATTTTACTTTTACCAGAGGTACATTTTTAGTCGAACTTCTTTTAGTTAAAGAGTTGAATCAGCACATATACTTTTACCACGGTCTCTTTTTCTCACAAGGCATATTCCTACTTTAGTAAAGGGTTTGAGCACATTTCAGTGGTGGTCCGAATCAGCAACATCACTGCAGTCGACATTGTGTGCAAACTGTAACAACTACAGTAGTCCTGATAATGAAGACTCTGCTGCCACCGTGTGGCTAAACGTTACCCAGCCACAAGTTCCATTGGCTGAATCATGATCAACTCATTTTAGTAGAAATTGATTTTTTTAAGTTGCAACAATGTTTCTTTCGATCCTACTTTTCCATTATTCCACGCCTTCTACTGCACCAGCGTTGCCCTCCACGCGGCCGAGCTTCCAGAAGCACAAACAGCGGCTGGTTGTATTCTAATGTTGTAACCCGGAGGCCCCTCCGAACATCCCCCGGACCACCACCGTCACCCGCTACTTGCCCTTTACCTGAGACAGAGAAGCGCGGCGTCCCATCGTGGCCGAACATCCCGACGCTCAGCCGGCCTGCGGGGCAAAGGCCCATGAGCTGAGACCGGACCCCAGCCTGAGACTGGACGCGGTTATTTGTCTGGGCCACGAGGTGCTCGATGATAATCCTCTAATACCTGTCACAGCAAGATTTGATTGGACGTTTACATTACTTGTATAAAATGAGTGGGCCCGATGAAAACTTCCCCTCGGACGGGCCGAGCATAAGAGAGATGGGTCACACGTTTGCTTCACTTGCACTTGAGAGGAGGAGCTCCTCGGCTGGATGCAATTTGTGCTCCCCCGGACCACCACCGTCACCCGCTACTTGCCCTTTACCTGAGACAGAGAAGCGCGGCGTCCCATCGTGGCCGAACATCCCGACGCTCAGCCGGCCTGCGGGGCAAAGGCCCATGAGCTGAGACCGGACCCCAGCCTGAGACTGGACGCGGTTATTTGTCTGGGCCACGAGGTGCTCGATGATAATCCTCTAATACCTGTCACAGCAAGATTTGATTGGACGTTTACATTACTTGTATAAAATGAGTGGGCCCGATGAAAACTTCCCCTCGGACGGGCCGAGCATAAGAGAGATGGGTCACACGTTTGCTTCACTTGCACTTGAGAGGAGGAGCTCCTCGGCTGGATGCAATTTGTGCAAAACATGAGATTATTGTACTTTCTAATCCTCTTTCGCAGGACTGTACAAATGCTTGGAGAGCTCACGTTCATGCGTGGGACTAATTGTGGCTGCTTTGTTAATTTGGATCAGGAGAGACCAAAGTATGGAGAGCCCATTTGGTTTCCAAATATCACCAGAAAATTCCTTAACTTTTACCTACATGATTTGCATATACCTAACAGCAAAGGTAAATGTAGGACGTTTGTATTGCAATACTAAAACAATTCAGTTAAAAATCGGATGGGGCCGGCCTGCAAATCGTGAAAACCCGTGAATAATTGACACATTAAACAATATTTTTTTTAATCTTGAAAAAATACTGAATAAGATGGGATATACTGCCAATAAGTGCTTTCTATTGAAAATTCAAAAATATTAATCAAATAAAATATAAATATATCTGCAGGTGCCGAACATTGCGTATGTGGGTGTCCACTGTATTGCAGTGTGCCGTATGAAGGCATATCATGACAACATCACTCCATAGAATGGAAAAAAAAAATCGGTTTGTGCATCAATTTAATTCATTATACTGATCCTTGTGGTCTGCCCACACAGCGACATGGACAGAAGAGTTTCACAACTACTTCAAATGACTCAGTTTGCTTCAGTAATATTATTAATTTTTCACAGAGGATAAAGACTATATGACTGACTGTGAGTATTATGATTTTGTCTGTCTACATAGATTGCTTCCCTGTTTGTGTTAAAAATGTGTTTTAAAAAATCAGGAAAACACGTTCAAGACAGTGAATGAGCTAGCAATAACTCATTTTGAACATTATTGGCTGGGTGCGGTAGAATTCAACACCCAATGGTGCCGAATTTGTGTGTATTGCACAGGGACCAATTGCGCATGTCACACTTAATAAAAGTCTATCGGCGATGTTCCGTCCGCATATACTGTACTAGAAGTACAGTATCGTTTGAGATGCAAGCGATAAAGGAATCAATAAATGTATACTATTTATCCTGTTCATATAAAAACAGACCTATATGTATTTGAGGTACTTTTATTCTTTTTTTTCATGATTTAATTTTTGTCCCTTTCAATGTGACTAAAACAATGATTAGGGCGGCGCCATAGCGCCCTCTACTGACAAACTGCTACTGGTGCCGACTCCCGCATCCCCAGTTATAAAAAGGTGTGCACACGTGTGCAACAACATATCGCAGTTTTTTATTTTAACTTTCCCTCTTGAAAAGATGTTTTGTGGAAGTTTTATTATACACACATATACTGTTATTTATACAGTATATTACTTACATATACCTGTACATGTATATTAGGGGTTATTTGCTTCATTTTTTGTTCTGTTTTTTTAACGTCAGAGAAGACAGGAAAAGGTCACCACATACACACACACACGCACACACGCACACACACACACACACACACACACACACACACACACACACACACACACACACACACACAGTACTAAAACTCGTATATTGCAAGACCAAAATATGCACCTTGTATCTGTATTGGGTTTTTTGTTGTTGTTTGTTTGTTGAACCATCAACGATTTGTCATTGTCGTGCTGATGTGCAGTAGCTGTCAGAAGGAGATGCTAGTGGTAGCTTCCTAAATATTGACCCGGCTGGAGGAGCCGTCGGTGGTGGTGGTGGGAAAACATTCATGAGGCCATCGGGGCTGCTTAGCGGCTGTTGTCGTGTTGACATTTGGCACGGCATGATCGTTTGGGACCGTTGAGCCTTTCAGCCCACGTTTGTCATCACTTCTTCTGATCTTGTGTTGAAGTCTCACTTCAAAGTTGATCGAGATGCCAGGTTTACTAATTGTTATCAGCAAGGGAAAAATTCTAACCCTTTAGTAGACAAGAGACAGGTCAAGCAATAAAGAGAGATACATTTTTTTTTACCTTGACAGTTCAAAATACGAACAATTACCTGATGGCTGGTCGAAGTAGTGTCTGTCTCCTTCCCTTTAGCCAAGTTCATCTCTCTCTCTCTCTCTCTCTCTCTCTAAAAAAAATAAATATATATAGATATACATCTATATCTATATATCTATATCTATATACTGTATCTATATATCTATATATCTATATATCTATCTATCTATATCTATATAGATATAGATAGATAGATATATAGATATTCCTGTATATGAGTTCCTTAGATGTTCGATCGGAGAACACAGGATGGAGAAGAAAACAAATAAGAAAGAAAACCAAATCAATAAATTGTGATCCTTGTGATACTACTGCTATCAGGAGCAACTGGCGATTCGGTATCTTGCTCAAGGACACTTTGACATGGTCGCAATGGCCAAGGAGTGAACCACCAACTACCTCTGGGTTGAGAAACAACTGCTCCACTACTGAGCCATTCCGCTCATCATTGAAAAAAAGCTTTGAAGAAATATTTGGTTTAAAATGGGATTCCTACAGAAGAGTTACTAACATCGTCATATTGATGTAAGACTAAAAAAGAAAGCGATGATTATACAGTATTATGTTTTGTGTTGTTTTATTTTCGACCCATACAGAGGATGAGTCATTTAAATTAGGGAAACATTTTAACTGTTAGCTTGAAGCCAAGCTAGCTCATTGCTAATGCACCAAGAGACAGTTGAAACAAACTTGCCTGGGGTAAGTTGTAACGCCGATAAAACTATACAGTGTACCGCATGCTAAATTTGACGTGAATGCATCAGTACAAATTTGATTGGAAAAAACAACTGGCCACACAATCCAGCCACATTCAACATGAGTTTGCACTTAAACAAGTAACTGATCATGCAGGTCCAGCTTTACCAGCTTCCGACCAAGCTTCTGCTATGACTACTGACCAAACTTCTGCTCCAGCTATAAACCAAGCCACTCAAAAAGCCGCCGTCTCTACTGACAAAACACTAACTTGGCTGAATTGTTGCTCAACAGTTTTTCGACCCCTACCAAAAGCCAAACTACAGAAACTCCCTTTATCCAAAAGGAAGAGGAAACAAGTAGGAGTAACTGACACACCTGTCAAGCTGACACAGGAAGTAGAGCAGCAGATGAATTCTGAGAGGGGAAACCGGAAAATAAGATTTCCCCCCCCCCCCACCACCACCACCAC